AGATGTGTATCCTAAATATATTATAGATAGCTGAACAATATTTATTTAATTTACGATAATTTATAACATTGATGATTTTCATGATTAGGCAATTATAAATGAATATTCATAATCTATATAACAATTAGCATCGGTTGTTTGATTAGTGAATGCTTCCTACTTTTAATGTATTTATGTTAAAATTATACATTTTTAAATTGTGTAAAACAATGGGATGTTGCTAGATATAAAAAATGTATGTATTATTATTTAATCGTTTCATTTATTCATTAAATTTATTTCGCCATATACAATAGATAGAAAGCTTAAAATATTAAAAAATAATAATTAAAAATCTGTGCAATGTGAGGAATCAGAAAACAATATAATACAAGCCAAAGCAGAATAAATACAAAATTAGATTATAATATAGAAAACAATTTATATTTCAGTTACAATCACCACCATCATAATAACGATCATTATTAAATTTAAAAATATATACTTTTTTAAAAGATAAGTTGTAAAAACATTAATAAAATCGTATACAATATACGAAAACAATACACCCAGAAGACTCGGTATCCAGACAGGATTAGCAAGATAATGAACAGTCATTAAAGGTTATAATAATGTTCCCTAAGCAGGTTACTTATTATTGTTATTGTTATTGTTATTGTTATTGTTATTGTTATTATTATTATTATTATTATTATTGTTATTATTATTATTATTATTATTATTATTATTATTATTATTATTATTATTATTAGCAGCATTTATTATTATTAAGCTACTTAACGAACCTTTGTGGCTGCGATGTGTAAACGTTTCAGAATCGTCGAAATGCAAGTCACCATTAATGCCATGTTTATTACTGCCGGGTGCGAATGCATGAGCTAGCGTGCCACCTTCTCCGTCAAATGCCCACGAGTCGCCGTGTGAATATGTACCGAAACGTATTCGTATATCAGCATCGTCGGAATATAAACGTGTAAATGTCAATGGCGACACGGCAGACCACATGTTAAAAGCTTTTTTGATCACCTTGTCAATAGTTTTGTTAGGAAGATCTGGGCTGTAGTTGAGAATTCTGCGAAAATAATAATTATCGTTATGCGACTAAGTGAGACAGATGTACGATTAAATAAGTTGGCTTCTAAATAATAGAAATGGCATATTAAGCCAAGGAGAAGTGAAATAATTGAAATTTTATTAACCTCTTATAATATTGAATTTTCTAACCTTTTGAAACCCCTAACTACTTTGAATCGTCGTTTTTGCAAATCTGATTTTGATTTACAAAGAGAAGGACTCTCCTTTTCGGAATTACGTTATTAAAAATCTGGTGTTTACCTGCATCTAACCTATTACTGTAGGCCTATACTTATACTCCACTGGATAAACAAATATTTTCAGATGGTATGTAGGCTAAGTATGTATGTGTAGGTATGTAGGTGTATAATTAGGTGTAGGTGTGTGTATGCATATGTGTATAAGTGTGTATGTATAAATATATATATGCCTATATATATAAATTGATGTATA